ATTGTTAAAGTCAGTACACAGTTTATATAGTCATTGTTAAAGTCAGTACACAGTTTATATAGTCATTGTTAAAGTCAGTACAGTTTATATAGTCATTGTTAAAGTCAGTACAGTTTATATAGTCATTGTTAAAGTCAGTACACAGTTTATATAGTCATTGTTAAAGGCAGTACAGTTTATATAGTCATTGTTAAAGTCAGTACAGTTTATATAGTCATTGTTAAAGGCAGTACAGTTTATATAGTCATTGTTAAAGTCAGTACAGTTTATATAGTCATTGTTAAAGTCAGTACAGTTTATATAGTCATTGTTAAAGTCAGTACAGTTTATATAGTCATTGTTAAAGTCAGTACAGTTTATATAGTCATTGTTAAAGTCAGTACAGTTTATATAGTCATTGTCACGTCACACATGGAAAGACGTGTCACACAGAGACAGTCACATCAGAGTCATAATAACCAGAGTCCTTGAACAGTCCTTGAACAGTCCTTGAACAGTCCTTGAACAGTCCTTGAACAGTCCTTGAACAGTCCTTGAACAGTCCTTGAACAGTCCTTGAACAGTCCTTGAACAGTCCTTGAACAGTCCTGCACGTGGCCATATTGATATATCTAATACTAACACTATCACATGTGGACTGCCACAAGGTTCCATATTGGGCCCAAATGATTTCATTTGTTTATCAATGACATCTTCAATGTCTCTGCACGACTGAAACTGATTTGATTTGCTGACCACACTAACATTTTCTATGCAGATGATTGTTATGACCACGTTATAAACACTGTGAATGAGGAATTGGCTCAAATTAAAACATGGATGAATAATAATAAGTCATTATGTTTGGTAACTGTCAGGAAAGTGTGTGTGTCTCAGTGTGTGTGTGTCTCAGTGTGTGTGTCTCAGTGTGTGTGTCTCAGTGTGTGTGTGTCTCAGTGTGTGTGTCTCAGTGTGTGTGTCTCAGTGTGTGGAGTGTGTGTGTCTCAGTGTGTGTGTCTCAGTGTGTGTGTCTCAGTGTGTGTGTCTCAGTGTGTGTGTGTCTCAGTGTGTGTGTGTCTCAGTGTGTGGGAGTGTGTGTGTGTCAGTGTGTGTGTGTCTCAGTGTGTGTGTGTCTCAGTGTGTGGGAGTGTGTGTGTGTCAGTGTGTGTGTGTCTCAGTGTGTGTGTGTCTCAGTGTGTGGGAGTGTGTGTGTCTCAGTGTGTGTGTGTCTCAGTGTGTGGGAGTGTGTGTGTCTCACTGTGTGTGGAGTGTGTGTGTCTCAGTGTGTGTGTGTCTCAGTGTGTGGAGTGTGTGTGTCTCAGTGTGTGGAGTGTGTGTGTGTCAGTGTGTGTGTGTCTCAGTGTGTGTGTGTCTCAGTGTGTGGGTGTCTCAGTGTGTGTGTGTCTCAGTGTGTGGAGTGTGTGTGTGTCTCTGTGTGTGGAGTGTGTGTGTCTCAGTGTGTGGGAGTGTGTGTGTCTCAGTCTGTGGAGTGTGTGTGTCTCAGTGTGTGTGTGTCTCAGTGTGTGGAGTGTGTGTGTCTCAGTGTGTCTCAGTGTGTGGAGTGTGTGTGTCTCAGTGTGTCTCAGTGTGTCTCAGTGTGTGGAGTGTGTGTGTGTCTCTGTGTGTGGAGTGTGTGTGTCTCAGTGTGTGGAGTGTGTGTGTCTCAGTGTGTGGAGTGTGTGTGTCTCAGTGTGTGGAGTGTGTGTGTCTCAGTGTGTCTCAGTGTGTCTCAGTGTGTGGAGTGTGTGTGTCTCAGTGTGTGGAGTGTGTGTGTCTCAGTGTGTGTGTGTCTCAGTGTGTGTGTGTCTCAGTGTGTGGAGTGTGTGTGTCTCAGTGTGTGGAGTGTGTGTGTCTCAGTGTGTGGAGTGTGTGTGTCTCAGTGTGTGGAGTGTGTGTGTCTCACTGTGTGTGTGTCTCAGTGTGTGGAGTGTGTGTGTCTCAGTGTGTGGGAGTGTGTGTGTGTCTCAGTGTGTGTGTGTCTCAGTGTGTGGAGTGTGTGTGTGTCTCAGTGTGTGGCGTGTGTGTGTCTCAGTGTGTGGCGTGTGTGTGTCTCAGTGTGTGGCGTGTGTGTATCTCAGTGTGTGGCGTGTGTGTGTCTCAGTGTGTGGAGTGTGTGTGTCTCAGTGTGTGGAGTGTGTGTATCTCAGTGTGTGGAGTGTGTGTGTCTCAGTGTGTGGAGTGTGTGTGTCTCAGTGTGTGGAGTGTGTGTGTGTCTCTGTGTGTGGAGTGTGTGTGTCTCAGTGTGTGGCGTGTGTGTGTCTCAGTGTGGTGGCGTGTGTGTATCTCAGTGTGTGGCGTGTGTGTGTCTCAGTGTGTGGAGTGTGTGTGTTTCAGTGTGTGGAGTGTGTGTGTGTCTCAGTGTGTGGAGTGTGTGTGTCTCAGTGTGTGGAGTGTGTGTGTGTCTCTGTGTGTGGAGTGTGTGTGTCTCAGTGTGTGGAGTGTGTGTGTCTCAGTGTGTGGAGTGTGTGTGTCTCAGTGTGTGTGTCTCAGTGTGTGGAGTGTGTGTGTCTCAGTGTGTGGAGTGTGTGTGTCTCAGTGTGTGGAGTGTGTGTGTGTCTCTGTGTGTGTGTCTCAGTGTGTGGAGTGTGTGTGTCTCAGTGTGTGGCGTGTGTGTGTCTCAGTGTGTGGGAGTGTGTGTGTCTCAGTGTGTGTGTCTCAGTGTGTGTGTCTCAGTGTGTGGAGTGTGTGTGTGTCTCAGTGTGTGGAGTGTGTGTGTCTCAGTGTGTGGAGTGTGTGTGTCTCAGTGTGTGGAGTGTGTGTGTCTCAGTATGTGTGTCTCAGTGTGTGTAGTGTGTGTGTCTCAGTGTGTGGAGTGTGTGTGTCTCAGTGTGTGGAGTGTGTGTGTGTCAGTCAGTGTGTGTCTCAGTGTGTGTGTCTCAGTGTGTGGAGTGTGTGTGTCTCAGTGTGTGGAGTGTGTGTGTCTCAGTGTGTGGAGTGTGTGTGTCTCAGTATGTGTGTCTCAGTGTGTGTAGTGTGTGTGTCTCAGTGTGTGGAGTGTGTGTGTCTCTGTGTGTGTAGTGTGTGTGTCTCAGTGTGTGGAGTGTGTGTGTGTCAGTGTGTGGAGTGTGTGTGTCTCAGTGTGTGTGTCTCAGTGTGTGTTGTGCGACTGTGTAAAGCCAAATATAAAGAAAAAGGTTGACAACAGAACAGTACACAGTGAAAATCCTTACTATAGTCATATAGTATTACCACCATCAAACATCATTTACCAACAATAACAGTGTCACGGAGTTAAGCTTTGCATTCTATGAGGATTCTCTACTAAGTCATGTAGTACCAGTGTTTTATTGATGACTGTTGAAATGTGCACAACATCATCTCCAGTCTGTTCATCAACAACTGAGTATAAGTTATTGAATCTGTTCATGAACAACTGAGTATAAGTTATTGAATCTGTTCATGAACAACTGAGTATAAGTTATTGAATCTGTTCATGAACAACTGAGTATAAGTTATTGAATCTGTTCATGAACAACTGAGTATAAGTTATTGAATCTGTTCATCAACAACTGAGTATAAGTTATTGAATCTGTTCATGAACAACTGAGTATAAGTTATTGAATCTGTTCATCAACAACTGAGTATAAGTTATTGAATCTGTTCATCAACAACTGAGTATAAGTTATTGAATCTGTTCATCAACAACTGAGTATAAGTTATTGAATCTGTTCATGAACAACTGAGTATAAGTTATTGAATCTGTTCATCAACAACTGAGTATAAGTTATTGAATCTGTTCATCAACAACTGAGTATAAGTTATTGAATCTGTTCATCAACAACTGAGTATAAGTTATTGAATCTGTTCATCAACAACTGAGTATAAGTTATTGAATCTGTTCATGAACAACTGAGTATAAGTTATTGAATTGTAATCTATGAGTTATTAGAGTTGTAAATACATTGATTTGATGATAACAAGGGTTTATTTACTGCACATTAAGAAACCACCAAACATTTATGCACTGGGGCGGGGTTTAAAAAGTGTTTACTTCTTCCCACTCCCTTTCCAACTTTCTTCTTGTCATTTTATTTGTATTTTTTTGTGATTTTGTATTGCTTCTCATATGTTTTATTTATTATTGTTTTGTTATTTGTTTTGAAGGAGAATAGAAGTACAGAGTGTACAAAGAAGCTTGTTTTATGTATTAGGAACTGCCGTGACGATGGATTGACAGTGAAGTTGTAAATAAACAGATTGATTGAAGGAGGCATCAGTGCGATCATTATTAGTCTTAGTTTGAGAATAGACATGTTTGTAATAATCCTGAAAACATTTGTTTATTTCTTCCTGATCAGATTCAATGTTATTGTTGGTGGGATTGTTTATTTAGTGTATTGCCCTTTCTGCTTGTTGTTTGCTCAGTTTATAAGAAAGAAGTTTTAGGGATCTGCCCCTGCCTCATAGTAATGCTGTTTTTATGAAGCCTTTTCTGCACAGCCAGCGTATTAACGACGCCAATCTCCTTTTTACCTTTGGACATTTTGGACTTCATTTCTTTTTACATATTCTTTGACTCTTCTTGTTCTAATTTTAGACTTTTTTCTTCTAAGCAAAATAGTTTTTTGTTGATTTCTTCAGATAGGATTGTTTTTATACACAAGGAATTGTTCAATTGCAAAAATCAAATCCTCTTTAATGTTTGGGTAATTCAGGATGTTACTGTTTAGTCTCCAAATCGTGGATCGCTTCTTTAATTCTAGGCAGATGTTTAAGTAAACGGGATTATGGTCCGAGACTGTACAGGGCCCAATCTCACTACTTTTGACTCTTAATAAGTCATTTTGTCATGTGTCATGTGTGAATATTCTCTTTTAGCTGGGTTTTCTTCTCTCCACACATCTACCATCCCCGCCTCTTTCATGAACTGTGAAAGCTTTTTCCCAATCTTTTTTGTGCAGCCTTTACCGTTGGAAGAGTCCAGAGAAGCATTCATAGTAATATTGAAATCCCCTCCACATATTAGGACTCCTTGGCTTTTAGTCGTAATCAAACTAAAGCTGTGATGGTGAATGGAGCCGTCAGTGCCCGGTGGGATGAACACATTCAGTCTGTAAGAGAACCTTCCCAGTACTTTTCCCTGTAATCATCACATATCTGCCCTCCTTGTCCCTGTGCTCTGAAATGTGCTCATAGTTCACCGCTCCAGATATTAGAGTGGCCTCTCCGTCTTCCTGACCCATGAGAAGAGTAGAACACATGTTTAAATCCCATCTTATTCCATTTGACATGCTCAGAGTGTGAAAGATGTGTATGTTGCATTAGAGCTGTCTGTGCTTTGTCTCTTTTGGTTTTGGTCAGGGCCTTCCACCTCTTTACCGGATTGTGTAAGCCACAAATATTTATTGTACCAACCTTTAGATGTCAGTATGCATGTTGGTTTGCTTAAAGACACTTTACATGATTGTTCTCTGCTTCCCCGGGTACAAACATGAAACCAAAAAAGAACACAGCATGGAAACACTTTTTACAAATGAACTTAAACAGTAGAATAGTAGTAGTAGGGAATAGTGGGGCGACAGTGGCTCAGTTGGTAGAGCATTGGTCTTTGAGACTGAAGGTCATGGGTTTGAGCCCACCATGAGACCTTCTCCACCGACGCCCACTGATGTCTGCTGTCGTTGTGTCCTTGGGCAAGACACTTAACCCCACTTTGCCTGAAGCCCCCGCTGAAAGATCTCAGCCCCTGCAGGAGGATCAGTGAGAGGCTGGTGCTCTGTGGACTCACCTGCAGGAGGATCAGTGAGAGGCTGGTGCTCTGTGGACTCACCTGCAGGAGGATCAGTGAGGGGCTGGTGCTCTGTGGACTCAGCACCTGCAGGAGGATCAGTGAGAGGCTGGTGCTCTGTGGACTCAGCACCTGCAGGAGGATCAGTGAGGGGCTGGTGCTCTGTGGACTCAGCACCTGCAGGAGGATCAGTGAGAGGCTGGTGCTCTGTGTACTCAGCACCTGCAGGAGGATCAGTGAGGGGCTGGTGCTCTGTGGACTCAGCACCTGCAGGAGGATCAGTGAGGGGCTGGTGCTCTGTGGACTCAGCTCCTGCAGGAGGATCAGTGAGAGGCTGGTGCTCTGTGGACTCAGCACCTGCAGGAGGATCAGTGAGAGGCTGGTGCTCTGTGGACTCAGCACCTGCAGGAGGATCAGTGAGGGGCTGGTGCTCTGTGGACTCAGCTGCAGGAGGATCAGTGAGAGGCTGGTGCTCTGTGGACTCACCTGCAGGAGGATCAGTGAGGGGCTGGTGCTCTGTGGACTCAGCACCTGCAGGAGGATCAGTGAGGGGCTGGTGCTCTGTGGACTCAGCACCTGCAGGAGGATCAGTGAGAGGCTGGTGCTCTGTGGACTCAGCTCCTGCAGGAGGATCAGTGAGAGGCTGGTGCTCTGTGGACTCAGCTGCAGGAGGATCAGTGAGAGGCTGGTGCTCTGTGGACTCACCTGCAGGAGGATCAGTGAGAGGCTGGTGCTCTGTGGACTCACCTGCAGGAGGATCAGTGAGAGGCTGGTGCTCTGTGGACTCACCTGCAGGAGGATCAGTGAGAGGCTGGTGCTCTGTGGACTCAGCACCTGCAGGAGGATCAGTGAGAGGCTGGTGCTCTGTGGACTCAGCACCTGCAGGAGGATCAGTGAGAGGCTGGTGCTCTGTGGACTCACCTGCAGGAGGATCAGTGAGAGGCTGGTGCTCTGTGGACTCAGCTCCTGCAGGAGGATCAGTGAGAGGCTGGTGCTCTGTGGACTCACCTGCAGGAGGATCAGTGAGAGGCTGGTGCTCTGTGGACTCAGCACCTGCAGGAGGATCAGTGAGAGGCTGGTGCTCTGTGGACTCAGCACCTGCAGGAGGATCAGTGAGAGGCTGGTGCTCTGTGGACTCAGCACCTGCAGGAGGATCAGTGAGGGGCTGGTGCTCTGTGGACTCACCTGCAGGAGGATCAGTGAGAGGCTGGTGCTCTGTGGACTCACCTGCAGGAGGATCAGTGAGAGGCTGGTGCTCTGTGGACTCAGCACCTGCAGGAGGATCAGTGAGAGGCTGGTGCTCTGTGGACTCAGCTCCTGCAGGAGGATCAGTGAGAGGCTGGTGCTCTGTGGACTCAGCACCTGCAGGAGGATCAGTGAGGGGCTGGTGCTCTGTGGACTCAGCACCTGCAGGAGGATCAGTGAGAGGCTGGTGCTCTGTGGACTCAGCTCCTGAAGGAGGATCAGTGAGAGGCTGGTGCTCTGTGGACTCAGCACCTGCAGGAGGATCAGTGAGAGGCTGGTGCTCTGTGGACTCAGCTGCAGGAGGATCAGTGAGAGGCTGGTGCTCTGTGGACTCAGCACCTGCAGGAGGATCAATGAGGGGCTGGTGCTCTGTGGACTCAGCTCCTGCAGGAGGATCAGTGAGGGGCTGGTGCTCTGTGGACTCAGCACCTGCAGGAGGATCAGTGAGAGGCTGGTGCTCTGTGGACTCAGCACCTGCAGGAGGATCAGTGAGAGGCTGGTGCTCTGTGGACTCACCTGCAGGAGGATCAGTGAGAGGCTGGTGCTCTGTGGACTCAGCTCCTGCAGGAGGATCAGTGAGAGGCTGGTGCTCTGTGGACTCAGCACCTGCAGGAGGATCAGTGAGAGGCTGGTGCTCTGTGGACTCACCTGCAGGAGGATCAGTGAGAGGCTGGTGCTCTGTGGACTCAGCTGCAGGAGGATCAGTGAGAGGCTGGTGCTCTGTGGACTCAGCTGCAGGAGGATCAGTGAGAGGCTGGTGCTCTGTGGACTCAGCTCCTGCAGGAGGATCAGTGAGAGGCTGGTGCTCTGTGGACTCAGCTGCAGGAGGATCAGTGAGAGGCTGGTGCTCTGTGGACTCAGCACCTGCAGGAGGATCAGTGAGAGGCTGGTGCTCTGTGGACTCAGCTGCAGGAGGATCAGTGAGAGGCTGGTGCTCTGTGGACTCAGCACCTGCAGGAGGATCAGTGAGAGGCTGGTGCTCTGTGGACTCACCTGCAGGAGGATCAGTGAGAGGCTGGTGCTCTGTGGACTCAGCACCTGCAGGAGGATCAGTGAGAGGCTGGTGCTCTGTGGACTCAGCACCTGCAGGAGGATCAGTGAGAGGCTGGTGCTCTGTGGACTCACCTGCAGGAGGATCAGTGAGAGGCTGGTGCTCTGTGGACTCAGCTCCTGCAGGAGGATCAGTGAGAGGCTGGTGCTCTGTGGACTCAGCTCCTGCAGGAGGATCAGTGAGAGGCTGGTGCTCTGTGGACTCACCTGCAGGAGGATCAGTGAGAGGCTGGTGCTCTGTGGACTCAGCACCTGCAGGAGGATCAGTGAGAGGCTGGTGCTCTGTGGACTCACCTGCAGGAGGATCAGTGAGAGGCTGGTGCTCTGTGGACTCAGCACCTGCAGGAGGATCAGTGAGAGGCTGGTGCTCTGTGGACTCAGCACCTGCAGGAGGATCAGTGAGAGGCTGGTGCTCTGTGGACTCAGCACCTGCAGGAGGATCAGTGAGAGGCTGGTGCTCTGTGGACTCAGCACCTGCAGGAGGATCAGTGAGAGGCTGGTGCTCTGTGGACTCAGCTCCTGCAGGAGGATCAGTGAGAGGCTGGTGCTCTGTGGACTCAGCACCTGCAGGAGGATCAGTGAGAGGCTGGTGCTCTGTGGACTCAGCACCTGCAGGAGGATCAGTGAGAGGCTGGTGCTCTGTGGACTCAGCACCTGCAGGAGGATCAGTGAGAGGCTGGTGCTCTGTGGACTCAGCACCTGCAGGAGGATCAGTGAGAGGCTGGTGCTCTGTGGACTCACCTGCAGGAGGATCAGTGAGAGGCTGGTGCTCTGTGGACTCAGCACCTGCAGGAGGATCAGTGAGAGGCTGGTGCTCTGTGGACTCAGCTCCTGCAGGAGGATCAGTGAGAGGCTGGTGCTCTGTGGACTCACCTGCAGGAGGATCAGTGAGGGGCTGGTGCTCTGTGGACTCAGCTCCTGCAGGAGGATCAGTGAGAGGCTGGTGCTCTGTGGACTCAGCACCTGCAGGAGGATCAGTGAGAGGCTGGTGCTCTGTGGACTCAGCACCTGCAGGAGGATCAGTGAGAGGCTGGTGCTCTGTGGACTCACCTGCAGGAGGATCAGTGAGAGGCTGGTGCTCTGTGTACTGGGTGTCTTCCAAAGCAGGGGTCTCTCAAACAGACCCTGTTGAGCCTCTAAAGGCAAAGTCCTCATCAGTTCAGTGAAAGGGGCCCTTATCAGCAGGGACCCCGTGAGAAGGTGCATTCTGAAGAACCGTGTTTTTTTATTGCTAATGACTTTCCATACTGCACAAATAAACCAGTGACTATATAAACTTAAAGATATTGACAATACTTTTTGATAATGAAAGCAGAAGATAACCTCATTCATCCGAAGCATCCGCCTCCGTCCTCCTAAAGGCTCTCAGCTTCACTCTGTAGCTTGGATCTGGTCCGGCTCACGTTGTTCTGCGGCCAGTCCCTCGGGTCACTCTGTTCCAGCTTCTTCACTTGCTCCAAGATGGACTCCGGTGTTTTGATGACCTCCACGGGGAGACCTCTTTTGGACATATCTTCACTCGCTTCCACCACCGTGTTGTAAAGCCTGTCACCCTCGGCAGACTTAACCTTCAGCTTGGGCAGGAAGACTGTCTGGACTTCATTTGGTTGGCTTTCAGGATCCTGCAAATCTCCACATTTTCTTTTCTTTTGTTGAGAATTCCAGTGAAATCAATTCATCACTGCATATAAAGCCTTTTTGCTCTCTCTATCTCTGGTCTCTCTCTCTGGTCTCTCTCTCTGGTCTCTCTCTCTGGTCTCTATCTCTGGTCTCTCTCTCTGGTCTCTCTCTCTCTGGTCTCTGTCTCTGGTCTCTCTCTCTGGTCTCTCTCTCTCTCTCTCTGGTCTCTATCTCTCTCTGGTCTCTATCTCTGGTCTCTCTCTCTGGTCTCTCTCTCTCTGGTCTCTGTCTCTGGTCTCTCTCTCTGGTCTCTGTCTCTGGTCTCTCTCTCTGGTCTCTCTCTCTCTGGTCTCTCTCTCTGGTCTCTGTCTCTGGTCTCTCTCTCTGGTCTCTCTCTCTGGTCTCTCTCTCTGGTCTCTCTCTCTGGTCTCTCTCTCTGGTCTCTCTCTGGTCTCTGTCTCTGGTCTCTCTCTCTGGTCTCTCTCTCTCTGGTCTCTCTCTCTCTGGTCTCTGTCTCTGGTCTCTCTCTCTGGTCTCTCTCTCTGGTCTCTCTCTCTGGTCTCTCTCTCTGGTCTCTCTCTGGTCTCTCTCTCTGGTCTCTCTCTCTGGTCTCTCTCTCTGGTCTCTCTCTCTGGTCTCTCTCTGGTCTCTCTCTCTGGTCTCTCTCTGGTCTCTCTCTGGTCTCTCTCTCTGGTCTCTCTCTGGTCTCTCTCTCTGGTCTCTCTCTGGTCTCTCTCTCTGGTCTCTCTCTCTGGTCTCTCTCTCTGGTCTCTCTCTCTGGTCTCTCTCTCTGGTCTCTATCTCTGGTCTCTCTCTGGTCTCTCTCTCTACGGTATCATTATCTGGTATTGTATTCTTGCAGCCTCCTCACAACAAACCAGAATCTTTGCAATTCCTTGGTCACCACGTCTTCCAGCAACACTCTGGCCAATCACGGTCAGGTAGAACACTTTAGTACCAGCTCGGCCTGGATATAACCAGGACCAAGAGGGACTAAAGAAGGACCTGGTACTGGTGCTCTCAGCGGAACAGGAAGTTTCTATGAAAACTCACATTTGGTCACATTTATAAAGTGTTGTTTTCATTCATTAAAGTGAAAAAGTCGTTAGAAAGAAGAAAGTTGTGAAGAAATCAGACCAAAACATGCTGTTGTCCTCCTGTTTAAATATCTGTACTGACTCTTCTGATTGGTCTCTCTCTGGTCTCTCTCTGGTCTCTCTCTGGTCTCTCTCTGGTCTCTCTCTGGTCTCTCTCTGGTCTCTCTCTGGTCTCTCTGGTCTCTCTCTGGTCTCTCTCTGGTCTCTCTCTCTGGTCTCTCCCTGGTCTCTCTCTGGTCTCTCTCTCTGGTCTCTCCCTGGTCTCTCTCTGGTCTCTCTCTCTGGTCTCTCTCTGGTCCCTCTCTGGTCTCTCTCTGGTCTCTCCCTGGTCTCTCTCTGGTCTCTCTCTCTGGTCTCTCCCTGGTCTCTCTCTGGTCTCTCTCTCTCTCTCTGGTCTCTCTCTGGTCTCTCTCTGGTCTCTCTCTCTGGTCTCTCTCTCTGGTCTCTCTCCCTGGTCTCTCTCTGGTCTCTCTCTGGTCTCTCTCTCTGGTCTCTCTCTCTGGTCTCTCTCTCTCTGGTCTCTCTCTGGTCTCTCTCTCTGGTCTCTCTCTGGTCTCTCTCTGGTCTCTCTCCCTGGTCTCTCTCTCTGGTCTCTCTCTCTCTGGTATCTCCCTGGTCCCTCTCTGGTCTCTCTCTCTGGTCTCTCCCTGGTCTCTCTCTCTGGTCTCTCCCTGGTCTCTCTCTGGTCTCTCCCTGGTCTCTCTCTCTCTGGTCTCTCTCTCTCTGGTCTCTCCCTGGTCTCTCTCTGGTCTCTCTCTGGTCTCTCCCTGGTCTCTCACCCTGGTCTCTCTCTCTGGTCTCTCTCTGATCTCTCTCTCTGGTCTCTCCCTGGTCTCTCACCCTGGTCTCTCTCTCTGGTCTCTCTCTGGTCTCTCTCTGATCTCTCTCTCTGGTCTCTCTCTCTGATCTCTCTCTCTGGTCTCTCTCTCGGTCTCTCTCTCGGTCTCTCTCTCTGGTCTCTCCCTGGTCTCTCTCTGGTCTCTCTCTGGTCTCTCTCTGGTCTCCTCTCTCTGGTCTCTCTCTGGTCTCTCCCTGGTCTCTCTCTGGTCTCTCTCTGGTCTCTCTCTGGTCTCTCTCTGGTCTCTCTCCCTGGTATCTCCCCTGGTCTCTCTCTGGTCTCTCTCTGGTCTCTCTCTCTGGTCTCTCCCTGGTCTCTCTCTGGTCTCTCTCTGGTCTCTCTCTCTGGTCTCTCTCTGGTCTCTCTCTGGTCTCTCTCTGGTCTCTCCCTGGTCTCTCTCTGGTCTCTCTCTGGTCTCTCTCTCTGGTCTCTCCCTGGTCTCTCTCTGGTCTCTCTCTGGTCTCTCTCTCTGGTCTCTCTCTGGTCTCTCTCTGGTCTCTCCCTGGTCTCTCTCTCTGGTCTCTCCCTGGTCTCTCTCTCTGGTCTCTCTCTGGTCTCTCTCTCTGGTCTCTCCCTGGTCTCTCTCTCTGGTCTCTCTCTGGTCTCTCTCTGGTCTCTCTCTGGTCTCTCTCTCTGGTCTCTCCCTGGTCTCTCTCTGGTCTCTCTCTCTGGTCTCTCTCTCTGGTCTCTCTCTGGTCTCTCTCTCTGGTCTCTCTCTCTGGTCTCTCTCTGGTCTCTCTCTGGTCTCTCTCTGGTCTCTCTCTGGTCTCTCTCTGGTCTCTCTCTGGCCTCTCTCTGGTCCTCTCTCTGTTCTCTCTCTGGTCTCTCTCTGGTCTCTCTCTCTGGTCTCTCTCTCTGGTCTCTCTCTCTGGTCTCTCTCTGGTCTCTCTCTGGTCTCTCTCTCTGGTCTCTCTCTGGTCTCTCTCTGGTCTCTCTCTGGTCTCTCTCTGGTCTCTCTCTGGTCTCTCTCTCTGGTCTCTCTCTGGTCTCTCTCTGGTCTCTCTCTGGTCTCTCTCTGGTCTCTCTCTGGTCTCTCTCTGGTCTCTCTCTGGCCTCTCTCTGGTCTCTCTCTGGTCTCTCTCTGGTCTCTCTCTCTGGTCTCTCTGGTCTCTCTCTGGTCTCTCTCTGGTCTCTCTCTGGTCTCTCTCTCTGGTCTCTCTGGTCTCTCTCTGGTCTCTCTGGTCTCTCTCTGGTCTCTCTCTGGTCTCTCTCTGGTCTCTCTCTCTGGTCTCTCTCTCTGGTCTCTCTCTGGTCTCTCTCTGGTCTCTCTCTCTGGTCTCTCTCTGGTCTCTCTCTGGTCTCTCTCTCTGGTCTCTCTCTCTGGTCTCTCTCTGGTCTCTCTCTGGTCTCTCTCTCTGGTCTCTCTCTGGTCTCTCTCTGGTCTCTCTCTGGTCTCTCTCTGGTCTCTCTCTCTCTCGGTCTCTCTCTCTGGTCTCTCTCCCTGGTCTCTCTCTCTGGTCTCTCTCTCTGGTCTCTCTCTCTGGTCTCTCCCTGGTCTCTCTCTCTGGTCTCTCTCTCTGGTCTCTCTCCCTGGTCTCTCCCTGGTCTCTCTCTGGTCTCTCTCTGGTCTCTCTCTGGTCTCTCTCTGGTCTCTCTCTCTGGTCTCTCTCTCTGGTCTCTCTCTCTGGTCTCTCTCTGGTCTCTCTCTGGTCTCTCTCTCTGGTCTCTCTCTCTGGTCTCTCTCTGGTCTCTCTCTCTGGTCTCTCTCTCTGGTCTCTCTCTGGTCTCTCTCTCTCTGGTCTCTCTCTGGTCTCTCTCTCTGGTCTCTCTCTCTGGTCTCTCTCTGGTCTCTCTCTGGTCTCTCTCTGGTCTCTCTCTGGTCTCTCTCTGGTCTCTCTCTGGTCTCTCTCTGGTCTCTCTCTGGTCTCTCTCTGGTCTCTCTCTGGTCTCTCTCTGGTCTCTCTCTGGTCTCTCTCTCTGGTCTCTCTCTCTGGTCTCTCTCTGGTCTCTGCTGCTGTAGGAAGGCAGCGGCGCCTGGTGGACACAGGAGGTATTACAACAGACTGAAATAGATGCTGTAGATTTCACACCAGTTCTTTTCTCAGCTTTAAACTCTGTCCCAGTGTGTCACAGCAGGGTTTCTCTCTCTCTCTGTACTCGAGTATCTGATGCTGGTATCAATACTTGTTCTGATAACTTCACTTTAGTACTAACTTTAGTACACACGTTATAGTGTGTCACAGTAGGCGAAACAGGAAAATAATCAGAGCAAAGAACACAACATGAGATTAGTATCAGTGAACCGTCTGCAATATGAGCATTCACTGTATCATAAGTTAGAGATAGGGTTAGAGTTAGAGCTAAAGTTAGAGATAGGGTTAGAGTTAGAGATAGAGATAGACCTAATTAGAGTTAGAGCTAAAGTTAGAGAAATCTCAGCTGTCGATGTGTGCTTTATTGTTATCATCATAGACTCCTCCTCAGCATTAACAGAGAGGCTGCGTCTGAGGCTCAGGAAGAGGTCAGCGGTGCGGTGCATATGCATACAAACATGCCCTTCCCGTAGAGTCCGTACAACCTCCAAGAATCCACAGCAGACCGACTTTGAACCAGTCACCATGAATAATGCAGGGGCCAAGTCACAACCTCGAGGTGCGACTGAGCCGTCTGTCACAATCTGTTCCACTGAGGAGAGCTGGGTTCATCTGTAGACCCAAGACTGAGGCTGTAGACCCAGGACTGAGGCTGTAGACCCAAGACTGAGGCTGTAGACCCAGGACTGAGGCTGTAGACCCAGGACTGAGGCTGTAGACCCAGGACTGAGGCTGTAGACCCAGGACTGAGGCTGTAGACCCAGGACTGAGGCTGTAGACCCAGGACTGAGGCTGTAGACCCAGGACTGAGGCTGTAGACCCAGGACTGAGGCTGTAGACCCAGGACTGAGGCTGTAGACCCAGGACTGAGGCTGTAGACCCAGGACTGAGGCTGTAGACCCAGGACTGAGGCTGTAGACCCA